ATTGACGCATTGTGGCCAAGCTTTAGCACCTAGGATTCACTATGTATAGTGTATTTGGACCACATGTACACACTACTATGATCTGAACCACATATATGCATTATGGCAAATTTCTTGAGAATTAGTTTCACATCCTATAAATAATTGTATTACAAGTTATTAAATTGCGGTAATATGTACATTATTATTTAACATTTGATTGCTCATTTAAAATTCATTAAATGTTGAATAATTAACTGCTGAGATGGAACCATATATAATAGTATAATAGTATAATATTAAAAAAAACCTCGCCTTGCCTTGGAATTTCTTTTGTAACGTTCTGATCACCTTTGAACAAATTGTGCGCTTTCTTATCTTCATTTTTTTTAATTTAGTTAGTTGTTAATTTCTGCTCACCAAACAACGCGCTCGTGTACTACTCCACAACGCTGATCACAGTAAAATGTTGTTTTACCGCATTACTTAAATCATCAGTCCTATTTTAGAGTTCAAATGCTTTCCACCTTTCACGTTTTCCTCCCTCCATTCAATGTAGCTCTGAGTGAGTTTAAAAAATGAATTTCCTGTTCAAGTTAATTTTGTTTTACCTCGATGTACTCTGGAACGATACCTGGTTCTGAATAGAGCACGTTTTTTGCCATTACTTCAATGCAATTTAAATACAATTTAATTCAATTCAACTAATATGCAGTTTTATAAAGGAATGCATTTTAATTACTATGTTACTACACATAAGCAAAATGCAATGATATATATGAATTACATTACAATTACAAGTTTAATTCAAATTAAATGGTACATATACATATATACTAGATATACAGTATATCAATTTAATTTGTTTATATTGACCTCAATAATAACTCATTTGCATAATAGATCAAATCCTTTGTTTAGCTCGCTATATTTATGTAAGGGTTACAAATCGCGAATGGTAACATTATACTGGTATCATGGTGACCATTTGTATAAAGGTGAATTTAACATGTATGCTACGCCGCACTATATGTGACCTCCCTGTTTCATTGTCATTGTGAGTTTAAAATCATGTCTTGCCAGCGTGCTATGCTATGACCTCATTTCCACCACGTATGGAACTGGCTCTATATTTCAACATAGTGCGTGACCCCAGCATGACCCCATGGATTATAAGAATCAAGTTTAGGCTGATTTTTAATAAATCTAGCTCAAAACTAAGAAACAAAATAAGTTCACAGTTTGTCAACAACCCCATCCTCCCAGAGTGCATTATGATCAACATAACATAAAATATATATGATTGACTCATTGGGTTGAGCATACAAGCGGAAAGCCTTCTGGACCTAACCTGATCGCTAACCACAACCTTAACACTGCAAAGAAGAACAGCAAGTAGAACCAGACTGAACTCCAGAAGACGTACCTACACACCAATTAGATGACCTTCAATTGAGGTCGTTTGTTCGGCATGTACGAATTGGTATGTAGAAATTGAAATGAAGACACTTAAGACAATATTAATACGCTGGAATGAATCATATAATAATGATAATAATGATAATGATAATAATAATAATAATAATAATAATAATAATAATAATAATAATAATAATAATAATAATAATAATAAATGGTTCCTATCTTTAGTCTTAAACCACCTAAGGCTTGCTAATTGACCTTTTGAACTCCCGCCCCAAACTTATACATTGCCCATTTTAGAATGTATTTACCCAGAAAAGAGATGGTACTGTGTAAATAAGTATGAAAGGTTTTGAGGGGATATTTCGTGCTACGAGATGGACACGTGGGAGCAGTGTGTCTTGCGTTTGGAGCTTACAAAATCTGTCCTATCTTCGAGGGGTGCATGACACAATTGCTGAAAGAATCTTCTTATTTGCATGAATTAATATTTATGAGCAATAAAACAACTTTTTTTTCAGGTACCAATGCCAATGGAATATAGAGTAATGATTACATACATAATACATAATATGTACATGCTTATAATATAATACACATACATAGTAATTTGGTCTGCTGCTGGTGTGCAAAGAAAAGCTGCAAGTTCTGCAATCTGAAATGATTTGAAATACAAAA